TTTTTTTTTTTTTTTTTTTTGGGGGGGGGGGTGCTTTATTCTCTCTTCTGTTCCCATGACTTCAAATTACGTTCAGCGATGATGTGCACTAAAAGATGTACCTGAGTGGGGAGACCATGCTTTGTGTCTGTCCCCAGCAGACCACGGCATCATGTCTCAGCTTGTACCGCCTGCCAGGGGTCAGTAGCAAGTGGGCAGCACAATGGACTAACGAGATAGAAATGTGACTTCAGCAGGCTAATGACTTAATGAGCATTCTTCATTTCTATTTCCAGGCGTGTCCTGAAACATTTCTAGTGCTGTGTGAATTGTGCAAGGTAAGATGTTGTCAAAAAACTTGACTTCAACCAGAATTTCTGTAAGAGAAATAATCAGCTTCTTTCCTTTTAAGCAGGCAAGCATGGCTTGGCTGGCCGTGGTCCACCAGGCTCTATATATGTAGGGGTTCCTGCCGTGAACCTGGGGTATTAAGATGATGGTGATGCTATAGGGTGGGTGTAAGTGGGTATTTGTTGTTTGTTTCAGGTAGCAGTAAGCTCCCAAACCAGACCAAAGAGGCCTCCAAACCAAACGTGGACATAGATCATCAACTGAAATAGAGGCAGGTTCAAAGACGACCCAGGATTTGAACCTCTTGGGTGGAGGTACTGTTGGAATAGATGGATTGGTGAAAATGAAGCAGGAGAAAAAGCATCACAGAGGTAGTAGACCCAGGGCAGGAGCAGAAAAAAGCTATAGGGACACCATTTGACCATCTCTCTAGAAAAGCTGGAGAGCTGCTTACACCCTTTCCTGATTAGTGGAAAAAGATCTGGAACCAGGAGCAGAGATGTAGCCTCTTGCAGTTGCATTCAGGGAAACTGGACTTTGTACATCCTTTCTAAGCTCTCAGCAGCACATGACTTCATGCTGAATATTCAGATGGCCCCTAACTGTCCTCATTGTTTCTGGCCATCAGATCATCTCATAGCACTTCTTTCCTCAAGGAAATCTTAAATGTCCTGCCCAAATTCCAGTTCTGCTTACATTAATCCACTCTGGCATTTCAGTTCTCTACTTTGTGCCCTAAATATCTGTGTACAGTTACTCTATGCTGTTTCAGTGCAGCTGCACTACAGAGGTAGCTGTATTTTTGTATATATAGACATAGTTTTGTTCTTGAATATGTTCTGTACCTCTGAAATCAAAACCCCTCATTTAAGTGTCAGAATAAGATTTTAAACACCCAGCTTTTCATAGGTTCATCCATTGTTAGGGGCTGGAAGGGACCTTGTAGATCATCAGGTCCAGTCCCCCTGCACTAGGCGGGAACTTTAATACGAAGACCCTAAAATGCATCTTTTCCTTTTACTAATGCAATGAATTATATTCTCAGAAGTATTTTCTAACATCTAGGAGTAACCATTTAGATAACACATTGCATTATGTGGGCAGCCATTGTATTAAATACCAATTTTATTTGGTATTTGGTCATTTTCTTCAATCCCTTCCAACATTAACAATACCAGAAAGTGTTCTTCATAATTATTCTTTAATGACCATGTCTGGTCAAATCAAAACAGCGCCTGGATTTTCCTTGGGCTATTAACTAATTGCTAATAATGAGTAATGTCTAGGGAATTATGAATCTACCAGATGGCATAATAATTTCACTTAGCTTGCTGATTTTTAAACATAAATATTATGTTACACTCCTAATCCCTAGAACTAGAAGATTGTAAGAACATCCTTTTTCACGTGTAATCCCTCCACGTTGATATTCCCCTGAAAGGGACCGGTTATATGTGGCACTTGAGTTCGAAGGGCTTCAGAAGCGCCAAGTTAATAACTGGAAGGTGCAGAACCATGTCCACAGCTTTTCGTGCTTTGAAAACTCATATTTTGCCGGCACAACTTTGCCCCTTTTGGAGGAAAAACAGCAGACTGAAAACTACACGGAGCTCTAGTGCCATCCAGTGTTAGTTGAGCGATGGTCATGCTGGAGTCATGTAGCCACGATGGTCCAGGAAGGATGCAAGAGGAAAGGGGTATCTTTTACTGGACAATCAGGATTTGTAGTAGAGATGATATCTTTTATTAGGCCAACAAGATTTTTGCAAAAAAAAGTCTTTAATTGCAAGCTTTCAGACACAAACACCCTTGTGAGAAAAGATTGTAAAAGTTCTCCAGGGTCTTTTCCTGAACCAAATGCACAGTTGAGAAAGGCTTAGACGAGCTTTCGAATGCAAAGCGTTCTTTACCAGGTCATCAGTTCTAGCAATGTGTTGGATGCTGAGAGAGGCAGTTGACCGCTTAGTCTGAAATCACAAAAAAGGTGGAGCAGGGTAGGAGTTTAGCAACAGGTTCAGAGAGGCATAAACTGGTTCATCTCAAAAGACACCGCCTTGCCCTGCCTCCTTGTTGGATATCGGTTTGATTATGAAAGGGTTTTTTTTGCGTGCCCTAAAGAAACTTGCAACTTGCTGGACTACAGTCTGCTGCTTGGTGCCATCAGAGCTAAAATAAGGAAGAATATTTCCCTTGACAGCTAACACCAGAGGGCCAAATGGCATGAGCCAGGTTGGGGATGACAACCATGGTGGGGGAGGGATGTTGCAAAGAAATGCAAAAGGGGAGCAGAGCTGCAATGCACTGACTTTTGGTTGCAGTCAAGAGCAGCGGGTCACAACCTTGTTTGGCTCAAGGCCCCTTCAGAAAACAGCAGCTCTTTGCTTTTGCTCTTTTTTTTGACCACCAACAAGATAATCCAGCGTTGCAAAGGACTCGGCAAGACCACAGCAGGGCTGAATGCATGTCCTGCTATGGATTAGTTTGAAATCTCAAAAAGAAATACAATCAGGACTCGTCGTCGAGATGATATCTTTTTATTAGACCAAGATTTTTGCAAAAAAAAATTCTTTTAATTTCTAAACTTTTTTGGGGTTTTTTTTGCAAAAATCTTGTTGGTCTAATAAAAGATATCGTCTTGACGCCGAGTCCTGATGGCCTTTTGCTGTAGACTGATACGGCTACAACCTGGATACCTAGAAACTCTAGAAAGTTTATTTTAAACCAACTAAGGAATTGCAAAAAATGTGTATTTGCATTTCTTGTTTTGTCTCATGCCCACAGCCCTCCCATTGCATCCTGGGCCGAGCAGCAGGTGGGGTGGGGAACTCTTGGGAATTGGGAGCAGCTGCCGCCCTTTGACCCTGGGCAAAGGTCAAGGTGGGGGGGGGGGACTGTCCCTTGGCACGGGCACAAGGGAGCCACTCTCTCTCCCTGCCCTTATCCAAGATGGCTGCCGCGGCCTCCCCCTTTGCCTCTGCCCTCACGCTGGCCCTCATCTAACATGGCCGCTGCGGCGCCCCCGCTTGCCCTCAGTTCTGCCCGTACCCAAGATGGCCGCTCGCCGTCAGGTGACGCGTGCCCTCCCTCCCGGCCGCGCCCAATCCGAGTCGAAGAGCTGGCACCGCCCGCGCGGCTCGCCCTGCCCCCTCAGCGGAGTCCCGACCCCGGAAGCAGTTTGCCTTTGAACGCTGGCGGG